TGGGTGGTGTTTGTTTGGGATGTTACAAGTGGCAAGCAACAAGAAAACTAGTCTCCTAGAGGAGCAAAAGGATGCAGAGGAGGCTCTCAGACAAAGGTCGAGACTTCCTCTAACACATGCATTTTGTTCTTGAATATCCCTCGGTTCAGGGAGGCAAGTAATGGCCCCTCATTGAGTCCATTGGGCTGGACCATGCAACCCAGAGCTGGGATCTGAATTTGAACTCTTGGCTCTTCCCCTGAGGCCAGGACTCAATGGTGTGTTAGCACCAGTTAACTGGAGCCTTCTTCTAACACACATTGCCCTACCTAACCCCACAGTGCTCGATTCCAGGATCTGGGGTAGGACCTAAGAGTCTGTGTTTCTCACAGGCTCCCGGGATGCTCACACCATGGGTCTGGAGTCCACATTTGAGAGCAGTTTCTTTAAAGGCCAGGAGTGAAGGAAACTATTTTCCCCCACCCCAGACCTTTGCTGTTGTGGTTTTCCCTGCATGACTTATTATGTAAAGGTTACTTATTAATAAAATGATGATTCACCATCATTAAGGTTTTTTTTTTTTTTTTTTTTTTTTTAAGTTTTAAGTGAAACATTTTTCATTTGGTCAACAACCTGCCCAGGAGGGAGAATAGAAGAGACGAAAAAGAACAGCACAGATCACATATAAGGATTCTTAACCTTGGTTCTTTTCTCTCTGGTCGGGATAGGTGGTGTTTTTGTGCCTATGCCCTGGCTTGATGGCAGCAAAGGGATAAGGAGACTCTGTTTGTGTTTCTTGGCTGGTTGGTGGGGTTTTCACTTTAAGTACAGTCTGATAAACCAGTTTTTTTTTCCTTTGGGCTGAGGACTCAGGCCCATTTGACTTTGTAGGGCAGAAACCGTAGTAACAAGAACATAATGATGGGTCAAAGCACTCTTGTATGTGAACATATTTTTTGTCCACGCTTCTGACTTCTGCTGGAGTGAAACCAAGCCCTAGAAGTGATGAATGCAGCGTTCCAGATACAGGTCCCTGAGTGTCCCCTGAGGCAGAAGGCTAATTGTTTAGGTCTGGCTTAGGTAGAGACATGGTGGCACCCGGAGGATAAGGACTCACACATGTCTGGCCTCTGCAATGACCCCACCTGGCAGAAAAAAGCCGAAGAGAGGCCAGACCCATAGTTTTCATATTTATTTAGCACTCAGAAATAGCTTCTCGATGCCAAGACCAAGGGTTGGGATCTTGATAAAATAAGAGTTTTAAGCCCTGAAAATATACTGAGTTACCACAAGTTCTCTTTTATTAAAAGTTCAAGCCAACAAGTTTCCCATTCCACTAGTACTAGCCATGTGGGGAATGGAGCGTGCCATCCAGAGCACACTGGGCCCACTCCTCTTTTTCTCCCGGACTTTCATAAGAGAAAAACGAATGCCTTTGATTTTTCACTTGGTTTTGAGATCTCCTTGGACTTCACAGCTTACCTCAGTCTTTGAGTGAAGCCATTATCAAAAGGCTAGTGTTTTGTTTTGTTTACAACAACCACTTTTTATTACCACTGTGTTGTGTAAGGATGGAGCCCCACTGAGAATGAACGCGTGCATCGCTAGCAAATGAAATGGAAAGCTATTCTTGAATACAAAAATGCGGCACAAGACAGCACGTATGGTATGATAGCCAGGTCTACGGTGAGAAGCAGGAAAGGTTTCCAGTGGTTTTTTTCTCTTCAGATAGTAGATTTTTTTTTCCTTTTTCTTATACTTCCATGTATAATTGGAGTTCATTAAAGTAATGCCTGGTCATTTGAAAAGTCAGGGAAAACAATTTCTTGGGTGGGGGAGGACTGAAGTTGAGCTTAAGAGGAAGCACACCCAGCAGCTGGTCCCCTAGGACGCTGCCGGATCCTCTCTTCATCTGGGATGTCTGTCGCAGTAGGAGCAGCCGTTAGCACTGATGAGTTCTGTTGGTAGGAAGAGACTACAAGTTGTCCTGTCACATGTCTCGGCTTCCCATATATGACAGAGCAAGCGACCTGTTCGAAGCAAAGCCAGGATAATGAAATCACTACCTTTGGTTGGTCTATAGCTCCTCCTGTGTGCCAAAAAAAACTGCTCACCACTTCATATGCAAAATGTACTCTCTATCAAGCTCTATAAAAGAGGTGGTAATTTTTAAGATCTTTATGGTACAGATAAGAGATCTGGAGCCCAGGAAGGCTGACTAATTTTCCAAGGGTCAGATACTAAGTGTTGGAATTCAGATTCTATCCCAGGGGTGTGCAGTTCCAGGGCCCAAACTTTTCATAATTTCAAAATGAAAGGTGAAATACAAACATGTTGTGTGTGTGTGTGTGTTTATGGGACAATGCATGTTTCAATAAGAACCTAGTACTTTGATTAGGTAATAAAGATTTAGCCTTCAGTTTCCAGAAAAAAAATATTCATCACCACTTACCATTTGATTTCCAGGGACACTTGTCTCATTTTAAAGTCAATCCTTCTATATCTACTTTATCTATCTTCCCTCATTCATTTTGTTTGTATGTTCATTTTTGTGCTTTGTATATTTTCAAAGCATAAACATGGTAACACTATTCCACGTTCATGTAGCCAAACAGGCCATGCCTTGTTCTTTTCAAAGAACATCATTTGAATGAGGTCCTTCCTCTTAAATGACTGTGTGAAAATACCATATGTCCTTCTTGTGCTGGTAAATATATGGTCTGTTCACTGAGTCTTGATCTGAGAGAATTAATCTGGGCTGCCATCGTGTGAAGACGCAGAGTTGAAGTTTTCCCACATGTGCTCATTGTCACCATCACGGAAGTCTCCAGTGTCCATCTGTTTCCACTAGTGTGGCGGTTCTCAACCTTCCTGATGCTGTGACCCCTTAACACAGTTTCTTATGTTGTACTGACCCCCAACCATAAAATTATTTTTGTGGCTACTTCATAACTGTAATTTTGCTACTGTTATGAATCGGAATGTAAATATGTTTAACGTAATGTAAGTATCTGATATGCAGGATACTAGATATGCAACCCCTGTGAAAGGGTCATTCGACCCCAAAGGGGTCACAGTCTACAGGTTGAGAATCATTTCTAGTGCTAGTGGAACCTCTCCCTCTGTCACTTCTATTTGTTGTTAGGGTCAGGGATGAACATTTCTAAATATTCTTCCATGTACACCAAAAGCAAAGTGCACAGAATGTTGAGGATGAGGTAGAGTGTGCTTGCCCACTATGCATAAGGTCTTGGGTTCGATCCTTAGCACCATTGAAAAAAGGGGGAGAGTGAGGGGAAGATAGGCAGGGAGAGGTGTGTGTGTGTGTGTGTGTGTGTGTGTGTGTGTGTGTGTGTGTGTGTGTGAGAGAGAGAGAGAGAGAGAGAGAGAGAGAGAGAGAGCAGATTATAAAGTCAGTCTCTTCACTCATTATTTCTATCTTCTAGAACCATGAATGATGTAATACTTCGGTTAATGCAATAAGCAATGTGAAGGATGATATAACAACGGGTGTTTATTTCGCTAACGAACCATTCCCACAGGCCTACACCGTTGAATACACTATCTGTGAATGTTTAAATTGAAATTCAAGAAGTAAACATCCGCACTCTAATTGCACTGGCCCCTTTCCAAATTCTCGGTGGTTATATGTGACCAGGTTCCATTGTGTCTGCTGTGTTGGACACCACAGAATAACGTTTTATCATTCTTTCAGAGTCCATCTTGTGAAAATGCCTTGGAATAATTGATGCTTGATGGAAGGGCTATTATTCCTAGGATAAAACAGTCCTGTATGGTTTAACTAGGAAAAGTAACTTCACTAGGATCTCAGGATGGGTCTTAGGGTTTCTTCCATCCTCCCTCCCTCCCTGCCTCCCTCCCTTCCTTCCTCCTTCCCTCCCTCCCTCCTCCCTCCTTCGTTCTTCCTTCTCTCTCTTTCTTTCTTTCTTTCTTTCTTTCTTTCTTTCTTTCTTTCTTTCTTTCTTTCTTTCTTTCTTTTTCAGGGCTTAGTGGATCCATATAGTAATTAGGAAGTAGAAGTTTTCTTCTCTTTAAAATTAGAATTGCTCAAAAAACCCACTAAATTTGGCCTTAGTGGGTTCTGGTTTATGTTGAAGATTAAGCTGTGTAACTGATGTCTACTTTTGCATCCCAAAGCATTTTCATATATAGTAACACTATATATGAAATATATACTAATCTATTATTTTATATAAAATACTGTATTCACATATATATATATATATATATATATATATATATATATATATATATATTAGTATATGATAGGGTCTGCTTGTTCTCATTTTATTTTATGTGGAAGGATCTTTCTAAATAAGATCACAATTCCTGAGACTTGGGATTGCAAGCATGCATCACAGTAGCAGGAAGATCAGAAGTTCAAGGTCTTCATTGGTTTCATAGTGAATTTGAGGCCAGCAAATGTGATCTCATTTAGAATGAAGATCTACCCAGATGTAACAGAATGAGAACAGGACAGACCCTAAGTACATTATGACTGAGGGCTTCAGAAGAAGAGAGACTTGGGCTAAGGGACAGAGACACACTAGAGAATGACTTGTTTTCCCCAGGCTTATTGGGGACCCCTGCAGCTAGAGAAGGGCTTGGAGCAAACTGCTCCTCCGTGATCCCAAAGCACAGGAAACTGCATTGACCTCATTTCAGACCTTGTCTTTCTAGGGGGAGATCACATCAGATTAGCTTAAGCCACCCAGTGTTTGTTACTTTGGTAAGGCAGCATTAGGCAGAAATATAAACGGGCTGCATTTAATATCTCTAGTGACTCGAATAGCATTTATTGTTGAGTGATGTTATGCGTTACTTGATTTGAGTTAATAAATGGTGAGAGCACCGTTAGAAGCTTACCATAGCATGCAACTTTTCTAAGCAACATTTGCTGTTCCCCAGACCACACATTTGTCCCAACCTTCCTTCTTCACTGTTCCTTATAAATCATTGTAAAGATTTACTTATTTTATTGTGTGTCTAAGGGTGTTTTGCTTGCATGGATGTGTGCCACATGCATCCCGTACCCACAGAGGTCAGAAGAGGGTGTCAGGTCTTTCTGAAATTGGACTTAGATAGATAGTTGTGAGCTGCCATGTGGTTGCTGGGAACCCCATCTGGGTCCTCTGCAAGAGCAGCCAGTGCTCTGACTTGCAGAGCCATCTCTCCAGCCGCTTGCTAGTTTGCTATCCCCAACATCCACTCCAGTTTCTTTTCTTTGAAATTAATTTCTACTGTGTAAATTGCCATTTTATATATAAAAACATACAGCATCATATTTTTCTTGAAAAAGAGCCTTGGGTGACAGTTCATTTAAGAGAAGGTCACTGAAGCCAGATGTCTGACTGCCTCAGGGGCTGAGGCTAGGAAGGTAACAAGAAAAACAGAAACATTTCTTGACCTTTTACAGAACAAGGCCTTATTTCTACACACTTCTCAGCCTAACATCTAACAACACAGCTCCTAAAGCTGTAAGGCAGATTTCATCCTTGTTTCTCTCTCCCTTTCCCCCTCCCAACAACTCCCCTTAATTCTAAGACCTCAGTAATTGAGAGACTTAAAAAAATAGTTCTGGAATAGAGAAAGCAGAGTTCTGTTTTTTTTTTTTCTTAGAGTCCATAAAGGAAAACCAAAACATTTTATAATTGGAATAGGTAGGTCACTTGACAGACTTGAGAGCACAATTACTTTCATACTATTGGGCCAAGGTTCAGTCAAGTTTCTGAATCTAAAAAGTGCCATCTCTGGATTACGGGAACTCGTACACAGACACTGTCTCCCTCCTTTGGTCAGAATCACCTTTACTCCGAAGGCGGGGGCTCAGAGTCAGGAAAATGATGCGTTTCTTATTTCTATCCCCCGAGCCTTCAAACCTGCAGACGCAGCCTCCATCAGCCTCGTTTTTCTTCTCGTCTGTGAGGTCCTGCAGGAGGTAAATTAAGCCCCGGTGAAGTCGGGTTGTGTGTGGCAGGCCCTGCGTGGTTCTCTTGAGGCTCCTTAATAAGTAGCGGGCCCCTGCTTTCCTTCCTCTAACAGCATCCGGCTGTCCTTCACAACCGGAATTCTCCAGTTTATGTATCTTCTCATTTCTCCTTGGGGTATTTTAAAATTGCAAAGCATTCTACATATAAAATATCAGCAAGACTAATACAAATGCACAAGGTGCCAACGATGGCATTTGCCACAGTACCAGGATAGCTTGTCAGAGTCTACATTCTGACCTACCTGTTCTTTCGTTCGTTCGTTCGTTCGTTCGTTCGTTCGTTCGTTCGTTCGTTCGTTCGTTCGTTTGTTCGTCCATCATTGGTGGAAAGGTGGCCGAGGAACATGGAGTGGGATCACACCTCACTTCAAATCCCAGTGATGTGGCTGCTCCCCTGGCTCCCCTAGCTAGGCTGGATAGTTTTTTTGAGTTTCAGTTTCCTGTTTCCACACGGCGGTAGTGACTGCCTCAAGATTGTGAGCTTACGTGAAACAGCTGGAATGCATCTAGCAGGTGCCAGGCACACAGTAAGCACTTAACAATGAGTCTTTAGTGCTGTGTGTGTTTCCTTTTCGAAAGTCCTTACAGACCTTGATAATTCCGTGTGCTCCAACTTTCCATGCACTTATCACATTTTTCTTTGGATTTTTAAAAGCAATGGGCACATAAGACAGTGGTCTCCTAATCTATTTTCAAACTTGACTTTACCTGGGGTACAAAAAAAAACCCCAAAGCACATAAGTGAAGCTGCTCTTTGTTTTATGGAAGAATCAATTGCACAGAATAATAGGTTTGTGTTTAATGATTCGTGATAAACATATTAGGTACAAAGAAAGAACTTAACTCGGCAGAATGAAGCAAAGCGTTGGAACCCGCCTCACTCTAATGAGCGTGACCTTGAAGGAGTCCCCACTTGGCCTCATTCCTTTCTTTCTTGTTTTGATCATTGCAAATGATAAGAAAAGTCATGACTTGAACTTTTGGTTTTTGAACAATTCCAAAAGCCTCCAAGGCCAGTGTGTGATGTAATGAACCCCGAGTTTGGTGTTTTCTGTAAGTTGGGTCACTTGCAGCTCAGAATGCAAAACAATCTTCACAAGGGAAACAGGTTAACCTTATGTAACAGAGTGACTGTTTCTCTCCAAAGTCGCCAATATCCCCCCCACCCACACACACGTTCACACCCATCCCAGCTCTTAAGCCATTAATGTGGAAGTGTTGGGCCCAGCTAAAATGCCTCCCCAGAGGTTAGCTTTCAGTGCAAGTGTGTGTCCAAGTTCAGATGCAGAACTTTTTCTAAATTTGTCCATTTTATGAGCATGTAATGTGTTCCCAAGAAGAACATCAGGGACCCATTTCTCCCTTAGTAATTGATTGCTAAACTAAACGTATCTTCATCATTCCTAAAAAAAATTCCCGGCCAGCCACAGGCTTAAAAATATTTGTTTTATGTAACTGTTGTTTTAACATCTTCTCCATCTCATTCCCAAAGGACCAGTTACCACTGGGCAGATGTTCCATGTCTTCCAAATCGCAAGTGTTGTATATGGATGCGCCCTCATATGTCATGGTGGTGCATGTGTGGACATGAAAAGACAGCTATGGGAATTCATTCTCTGTCCCCACCGTGTGGAATCCTGGAATTGAAGTTGGGATTGCAACGTCTCTTTCTTTGGCACCTTCTCATCTGCTCAGTGTTGTCAAATCTGAACAAATCCAGCAGTGCCACTCACAGCTGTGGCTCTAGCTGGTTGTGGGGTTGGGGTGTCTTGAAGAGTGGAGGACAGACGTGAAAATTGCGCGCAGTCATTGGAAAGCATTTTTCCCCCAAGAAATTACTTCAGTAAATTGAGGAAAACACATGCCACCATTCTTGGGCAACATGACAGCTGCCTCAGGGCTTCCCAAGCAGCAACAATTTAATCGTCTTGGTGGCTCCAGCTGCAGCCACCCAGTTCCCTTCTTATTGGTTTCATTTCTTCCTTGTCCTGATTATCCATTTGCTTTTTGGTTTGTTTGTTTGTTTATCTATCTATCTATCTATCTATCTATCTATCTATCTATCTATCTATCTATCTATCTATCTATCTACTTCTCTACAATCCCCAAGTTTCCCAACTCTCCCCAGTTGTGGAATTTCTTCTGGGGGACTTTGCATATACTAGGTGACAGACTGGTGTCCACTCGATGATGTCTCTCGTGGGGCCTCTCGCCTACTCTCCTTCCATCCTTAGGCAACTGCTCAGGCATATCTGGAGATTACCCTTCACCCTCTCCTGGGCTCCCTCCCATTTCCTGGAAAGCATGTGTCGTAGAATGAGGACCTCTGGGCAAAACAGCTACTGTCTTCTTCACAATGGCTGTACTTCCTTGCAGGGAGGGGTCCATCATGATTGGCTGTGTGGATTGCTGAGATTCCCTCATAGGAGGGGGAGGTGGAAATGGTCATTGGATCCTCACCCGAGATTTCGGCTGCCCCTGCCACTCATTTCTTACATGGTTTCTGGTTGTACATAGCCTCAAGGTCTTAGGATGCCCTAGGGATGGAGGCTGGGGAAGGTTAAGTGGTAGGAATGGCATCTGTGCTCTGTGGGAAATCCATCACCCCTGCTGGATAGGGGCTTTCCAGTGCAGCTCCCTGAGGAGGACCCACAAACCTGCAGTAACCCCTCCCCCATGTCTTTCTTGTAAAGAAGCCCAGTGAACTCTTCGGTTTTCTTAGGGGACCCTTCCATGGGATCATGTCAATACTTTGGTTTGCCACTGGGGCCTTATAAGGAAGGGGTAGATATTGTGTGCAGGAAAGCAATTCTTGAAGCATCTGTTGGCTGACACTAATTCACACAATTTCAGTGACTTAACACAATCTATTGTTTCATAGCTCTAGAGGTCGGTAACTACACTTCTTCTAGAAGCTTTAGAAGGGAAATCCATTTGTTTGACTCTGTTAGCTTCAAGAAGCCACCAGCATTCCCGAGGTCATGGCCTCTTTTTCTGACCTCAAGGCAGAAGTATAGCATATTCAGGTCTCTGATTCTGCCTTTTCTCCTCTTGCCCTTCCCAGAACCACTGTGACTGTGACAGTCCCACCTGGAGACTCTCCCCACCCACCAGTCCCTCAAGTCATCCAAGCTACAAAGTCCTTTTTTCTTTTGTCATAGGATTATTTAAAATACTCACAGATTCTGGAAATTTATAGAACCATATCTCTTGGGGGCCATTATTCTGCCCTCTACATGTATTTCTTTATTTTTCTCAGCCTTCAGTTCATGTGACAGCATTTCCTGAAAGGCCGAATTTCTTGAAAATATCTTCATCTGACCTTCAGCTGGTCACTTGCAGGATGTAGAATTCTTCTTTGGAAATCTTCAGTAATCAGAACAGGGTATTGTGATGAAATGGTCATAGACTCCCGTGTCTCAAAAGCTTTCTTTCTCTTGGAAGTCCCCCTGTGAGTCCACTGGCTCTTGGGAAAGTCTCTTGAGGACCTAGCTCAGGGGCCGGGCCTGGGCTGTTTCCATCTTGTGACATCATTTAACAGAAGGTCACTATGGGGACTTTTCATCCCTTCATCCCAAATGTGACACAGCCACTTCTCTGAGCAGTCCATTGTCCAGACTAGATAAACTCTCCGAGGGGCCTGGGAAGTCAAGCACACAGTGCCCTGAGCAGTTTGTGTCCCTGCCACAGGGCCATTCCCTCAAACCATGGAAGCCTTCCATCTGTTTTATAGTAGTTTTCAGCATGTCTATTAAGGGTAATTCCCGGTGCTTTATCTGAAAATCGAATCTGTCACTATGGAAGTTGTTATTCTTAGTGTTCGGAAAGTTTACAGTTTCATGCCCAGGGTGTGTCAGCCTCGTGTCCTCATCCACTACTCGGTGACCTTCGCATCCTGGAGATCAGCGTCCTGGGAAATGAGCTGACGTCTTTTTAATGTGTGATTTCTCCTCCTGAAGTTCGCTCTCTGGGCTTCTGGCTGCTTCTTACTTGCAGACTGGTTTTCCGGGATGAATTGGCCACATTTCTTTTTTCGTACTTTTGTCTTTTCACTATTCTATCTGGAAAAGCTTCCTAATGTAGTCAGCCGCCATCCACTCAAGGTTCTTCCTCACACAATTTCGAATTTCTAAGAGCTTGTCCTGTTATTTCCTGAACATTGCTGATCACAGAGTCCTTTGGTGCTTCGTAGAGCCATTTGGTAAATTTATTTTAAAAGGTTAGTCTTACATATTTTATTATTTCTGGCTGCTATTCTTAATGGAATCTTTTTTGTCCCACTATATTTTAACTGATTGTTGTAATATTTAAAAACTATAAATTTTGTGTTTTATGGTCATATTATTGAACTTAAATTATTATTTTAGTATTTTGAGTGCAAGGGTGTTTTGCCTGCATATATGTCTATGCACCGCATGTGTGCGTGGCTTGCAGAGACTGGGAGAAGGTGCCAGATACCCTAGTATTGGAGTTAACAGTTGCAAGTTGACGTGTGTGTGCTGGGAATTGAACTCAGGTCTCCAGGAAGAGCAGCCAGTGCTCTTAAACACTGAGCTGTCTCTCTAGCCCGTATTACTGAGCTATTAATTGTCCAGTCATTTAAAACTTATTCTTGGAGTGGACTCTGTGTGTGTGTGTGTGTGTGTGTGTGTGTGTGTGTGTGTGTGTGTGTGTGTGCCTGTACGTGCACATGTGAGTGCATCTGCTCTTGGAGTCCAGAAGCTGGTTTCCAATCCCACGGAACTCGAGTTACAGATGTGTTTAGGCTGTTGGACACAGGCGCTGAGAAGCAAGCTTGGTCCTCTGAAGAGCAGACTGTGCTCTTAGCTGCTCAGCCATATCCCCAGGCCCTAAATTCTTCTTCTTAATGAGGAATGGCACAGTGGATAGCCAGTATTCATTTTACCTCTTCCTGATTCTGACTCGAATTTTCTAGTGTGATTTGGAACAATATGAAGTCTGTGGCTGGGAGTAGGTATTTACTGTAACCCACTTATAGAAATCATGCCTGGAATGTGATAGATAGCATTTGGTAAATATTGTCACATAAGTGAGTAGTAGTCATAGAGACTCTTGTTTTGTTTGAAGTTTTAGTGATATTAATACACTTTACCATTATATCTAAGTTTAATTTTTATTTTGAATATCCCGTGTTATAGTAACATGATTTTTTAAAAAAAAAAATCTTCTAGAAGTATACAGTTATGTGTGCTCCTT